AAAGGCAGCTTTCTTTTTCTGACACACACACACGCACTACAAGTTTAGACCAAATCGAATCTCAGAGAAAAGATTAAGAATGTGTGACAAGTGCACTATAAAGTCTGAGAACACAAAAGGAAAAAAAAAACCAACAACCCACCAACCCAAGATTTCAGCTATTATTTTTTAATCTGCCAATTTCTGAGTTGATATGGGAGTGGCTGAGTCATGCTTTCCAAATCCTCAGGACAGGCAACATTTCAGAGAAAGGTTATAGCAAAGTGAGCAAAAGTTCAGCCTTACCATTAACCCTCCTTCCTGCAACAGAACTATCACATTTCATTTTCATGTGGCCACTAGGATCTATACTGCGACCACTAAACCCCTTTTAATTTCAAATCACCAAAGCAGACATTCTAAGAGTAAATAAAATAGGTAGCTTGTGTATGTTTTGCATTATTTTACAAAAAAAGCTATATTATATTTACAAAACCACATATTTCCTTCTGAACAGAAAAGCTTTTCCAGAAAGACAAATGGACAGAACGCTCCAGAAATCACATTTCTTCAATAAAGCTATTTCAGTTTCATCTTTTAATGCCTTTAGAGGTGAATTGATCCTACGTGGGAATCTAGCATTGCCTTGCATATCACAAAGAAAATATTTTATGTGAAATTAAATTAGCATTTGTCTATATTTCATCACACAGGTATGCTACATCGTGTGTCATTGATAGCAGTAAAATAAATATGTACGCGTGTGTACTTTAGCAGGGATGATGAATTATACTCTATAAGCATTTAAAGGTAGACATTCATAATGAAGCCTGCTAGTTGGCAAGCATGTCTATTACTTACCACACTGAGTCCCAGCAACTCTCTGCAAAAATAGTCCATGTTCCTCCTTTGCAGGTTGTCAAGATAGTGCTGAAGGCGAGTATAGGTGTAGGGGTAGCAGTAAGCAAATTGGTAAGTGTCATCCTCCCGGTCAAAGCAAAAAGCAAATGACATGACATAATTCTTCCTGTGGTCTGGGCAGCGGTAGTAATACACATTTTTAGAGGGTATTCTTTGCCTAAAAACCAAAAACAACATATATATACATTGACTTATATATACATCGACTTATATATACATTGACAACATATATATGCACACATCGACATAGGAAACCTGAACAAAAAGGCCATGTGAGATTCAAATTTCCTCTAAAGCAAATGAAACACAACAGGTTCAACAGCTCAGGAGCTGGTGAGCAGATGCCAGAGCTTGCGTTTCCAAGCACTCGTGCAGACAACCTCCATGCCGGAGGCCCGTGCATGGCACAGGCACTGTGCCGGTGCACCGGTCACCTCAGGGACGGCAGGTCTCTCCAGGTGCCCAAGCTGGCAGAGTCACCATAGCAGGGGAGAGCATCGCACAACCAGAGAAACCCATTCCCAAGAAGTGAAAAGGATGCGTGGGCAGTTAAGCTACCCTCTACGTGGCTGTCAAGCTGGTGCGAGCTCATAACACTACACAGGCTTCAGCCAAACCTCGGGCTGGAGTGTGGCTACATCCTTTCCTACAGGCCTAATTCGCCAGCACAGAGGTGAGGCATAATTAATGAAGGAATGTCGGTATCAGGCAACATTGACAGAACTGTTACTGAAATTCAGGACATCTTTATATTTTTATTATCCTTAACAGTCAGAGGATATATCAACACCGAGCCGATGAAGGGAGGAAAAGATATATTTTTGTGGTGAAAAAAAAAAGAACAAAACCCAAACAAAAAACTTCAAGTATGGAAAATAACCTGGTCCTAAATTAGAAAGCAAAGGAGAAAAGGGTATTTGGTCCTGTTCCAAATTGGATTGCTGCCCTCCTTGAGAGTTCTGGCATATACTGCTGACAAGATAAAATGAATATACATGATGGTAAATAATTATAATAGAGACATTTATGTCATTGTTATCAAGCTGGTATCTGTTTAAGGAATAACAAATGCCTGCCTGACATCTTTCACCCAACTTCAATTATTGTGTTATTTCTCAACAGAAACGAGTAACATTTCAGAGGCGGGTCAAACATTTGTTCTATGGACTAGAGACGTTCAGTATTTCTGTTTTTACCCTTTCTTCATTTCGTAGATGGATTTTCTAGCTTTATTTAAACAGAAGATTCTCTAGTCATGCCATGCACTTGTAATTCGATGTAACTAACTTACCAGTCATGTTTGGCAACAAAACACTATGGTCCTGCAGACTCTAACTGATTCAATTACACGACATTATAAACAGGTCTCATCTAACAATTGGAGCAGATCTCAGCTAAAGTAGGATCATGGTGAGGGAAAACATCGTAAGATTTACAGACATAGCAGCAGTAATGTGCCTCTCTGTAATAGTTCCGAGAAGCTGGTCTACTGCAGAGCATCAGTTTTGGCCTTTCATTGCTAATATGAAATAGAGGACAAAACCCTCTCATTATGCAGAAGTACGTGTTTGCCAATTAGCAGCAGTTAAGGAGTCTGATCAGCAAGACTCAGGAGCTACAAAGAGAAACAGAAAGGAATTGAGATATTCTTGAAAAAGTACAATAAAAAAGCCAGTGATGCAGTTAATTAGACTTGAAATAAGAATTTATTTGCCCCTTTTATTGCCCTGGTTCTTGAACATTCAGGGCCTCAAGAATTTACTTCAGCTTTTTTGGTTAAATAAGGCATTTGCTTATCACTAAGATCTGAAAATGATTTCAAGCCACAAACGTGAAGGACAGAAAAACAATTCTTTTAATTTTTTTAAAAGTATCGGTAGGGGAAAAATGCCACCAGCCGTCTGCATGCAGTACCCTAACCTAATAGGTTTCTCCAGCATCTTAACATATTTCTATCATTCGCCCTCACTCTGGAGTGCTATAGGACATCCCTCATTTGATCTCAAATCAAGCAGATGATATGGCAGTGCGTAAATGTATTCTAGCTCCCAGTCCTCAAACCGTAATGCAAGTTTAAACAGTATGTTGCTGAGTTGTTGAACTTTATTTGTTTCCAAATTAGCATGGGAGAAATAATAAAGGACAAGCCTCACTTTACGCTATAAAAATTTCATGTAAAATGAGACCAATAGGAGGAAATTCAGGATTTTAGAAAGGCTAATGCTAATTGAAATTCATCTGCTGATAGTTAATGTTTAAATGACACATAGTTCTCCTTGGTTCAATAACTTCCTACTTTTAAGCAAGTTGAAGACAACTTTGTTAATGTATTAAAGGCACTTTTGATATTTCATTCCCTTTCCCCTTCATTATAGAAGCTAAGCATCTGTTTTATTATCCACTTTGACACATCACTTTATAGCTGCATTTGGCTATTATGGCTAATCTTGATGTCTAGGACATCTGGTATTGACATTTCACTATCTGGTGTCTGACACAACAGCAGAAACCATCCTCAGTTACTAGGTTTAAATTCACCCTCTCAGGGCAGAAAGTGCCCAAACTCTTAATTCAAACCATATCTTCCAAAAATAATTATAATAGTACTCCTGTCATTGCTAATCTATTTTTATCTCTCCTAGCACTTTGTCACTGCTAATCTATTTGTGAGTCATATAGAGAAAGAGAGTTAGTGTTTAGACACCAACAACACATCTTACACACAGGAGCCTAATCAGATTGAGATCTTATCAGGGAATTAAAGAAAAAAAGAAAAAAAGGGAAAGAAAAAGAAAGAAAAGTGCTAGATATCACCAACTGAGTTTTTGATAAGGAAAAGACATTGCTCAGTTCTTGAATTAACCTTTGTGTCCTAGACGCACTATTGTTTATTTTCCCTTTTTTTTTCTATGCCTTCTGGAAAAGGACACCCACACACTGTGGCAGCAGCTGCTCCTATTAATTTAAAGCTATTACAAAAATTAAAATTAAACCCAATTACTTTGGCTGGTTTATAGCCGGGGAACGGCTTAGTCTGATTGTTCCCTCTGGTTATGGACAAAAACAATATTCCTACCTACAGGCAGCTGCCAGTGGAATACTAATGCATCTAGGGCCTGGCAGGGACAGATTCAGAATGCAGAACCGAACTGCATTTCTTACGAGAGAAAAATATCTTATCATGGATCTGCAGAAATGCACCGACTTCTTACACTGTAAGTCACAATGAAGCTGATTTGTAGTTAGAGGTAGGAAAGCAAAATGACGGTAGAAAGCTTAATGCTCAGATTTGTCATTTTGCACTTCCAGGCAGCTCACGCTAAGAAATGCACCCTGCTAATTGATACGCAACTGCCTGGGTTTCAGGGCTTCTGAAGGGTTATTTAAAGGAGAACCACCCCAATTCTAAGTACAGCCAGAGAGCATAACATGCAACTAATTTCCAGTTTGGTTTTAGGAATGTATTTAACAGAAATGAAGCGTGATATTTTACATCATTCTGAAACAAATTCAGACTGCTTAGTCTTAAAGATAAACGAAGAATTCTCTCTGTCAAAGGAAGAAGGAAGCACAGAAATGAGGATTCTCTCTCTATTTTGACTCTCACAGTCCAGTGCCAGTGAAAAAGCTTGACCCAGTGCGTTTGAGTGTCTTCTCCTCCTATCTGACAAGGTAGCACACTCCCAACCCAGCAGATTTGTTTCTCCAACTGTGAATGTACATGTGCTTGTCTGTTCCTATATGTTTGCCACATTGCAGTCTGGAGTCAGGTCATTTACTCTGTTTTGGTAGCATGCAATAAGATCAAATTTGTCAGTTTATAAAAAAAATAAAATAAAATAATAAATTTGGAGACCTCATTCAATCTCAGAAACCTGATAACTTCAGAGGCCCCAGGATTTCACTCCTTGCTACTACAACAGGCAGTGAGGGGTATTACACATAACTGAGCTTTGAATATGTTATCCTAACTATACTTCTATTTTCAACATAATTTTAATTTCAACTCTAATAATTTTGATCTTAAAGGCAACCTTTATTATTTGTTCTGCTTTTTTTTTTTCTTTTTTTTTTTTCTCAGCTACCTTACTTCCCTTTGAAAATTGGGAGTTAATCAAGACTTTGGGGGACAAACACTGGGGGGTGGCAGGGGTGCTGCTGTATGGCATCTGTTCTTGAAGTTTTAAACACATAAGGTTGCTAATCAAACCCTTTTGTGGTACCACAACAGAAATAATTAGAAAATAACAATCTTTGGAGCGCTTTTCCCCCCTATTGCATGACCAAAGCAGGGAGCTCTTGCCCAGCCAAATTCCCAATGACTTTAATGAACAGCCTAAACAGTCTTTGGACTGCTTTTAATACGGCACTCGTGAAGTAATTATTCAGTTCCTTGCCTCTACAGGATTGGGTTAGACATATACAAGTCAGTAGACTTCAAAGTAAAATGATGATCTTTGGAGGAAAAACAAAAAGCTGCAGGTGCTGTAAAAGATCAATGGCCAAGAGAAAAATTAAGTGATCTGACTTGTAGAGAAATGCTCTAATAAATCTGATCGCAATGTGCGTTAGCTGTGGTGACACACTGTGGTGATCATTTTCAATTGCCATCAATTTGCAGATGGAGGAATACAACTTAACAATTTTACAAATTTCCAAGCTTGCATATATAATTCAAAGGGGTGGGCCTGAGACACAGGCTCAGTGGGAATTATGCCTAAATCTTAAAGACATTTGAAGCACAAAAACCTGATTCCAGTTAAACTTTGGAAAATAACCTTCAGGTATTTATTTGCGCTATACTTGATCTAACTACTTATTCCGAGTGCTCAAATTTTATTTTTAAAGCTGGATGTCCCTACTTATTCACCACACGAAATCCAGCAAATTCTGGCGAAAATGTAAGGAAGTTAATCATGCACTGCAAACTCCTCTTCTAGGAGGCAGCCCTTTCAAATTGAAGGCCTTCCTGACTTGTTTCTCTGTTAGTCTAAGCCATTATTTTTCTTCTTGCTTATTCTTGTTGACAAGTGGAGCTGACCATCTTCAAAATTCCTAGCTTACTTGTGACAAAATAAGTTTGTAGGGTTTTTTCTTGCACATAATTTTATATTTGATTCACAGAGCATGGAGTGACAGTGAATATGTCAGATGGTG